GTCAGTGAGCATCTCCTCCGCTCGGACGGAATAAGGCAGTGGAGAGTGGGGAGGTCAAAAGCGTGTGCTTGAGAGAAGTGTCATTCAGGACGCTTGACAGAGAACGGTGTGGAGAATTTCACTCAGCAGCAATACTTAACCAGCCAGTTTAACATCTAAAACAAAAGCAACTAGAATCCGTTTTAATAGGAAATGCTGCGCTTACTGAACAGCTGAGACACAGAAACAGCTGCTTATGTTCAGCAAATATGCACACGATCTAAATCCGGATTATTACGATTATTTATTCCTATTGTTTTGTTGGTATTTGTGCTTTTGTAGTCGTCAGCTGCTGCATTTGACAAATAAAGGATTGAAGTTATAAGCTAGGGTAGTTTTTTTTTGAGTCTGCATGCCTGTTTCCTGTAATGCTTTGGCAATACGTAGAAAAGTGTTTCATGAAAGCAATTTAAATGTAAAGTCATTTCTTGAGGGAACTGCAGGATGTTTACAAGAAACACACTTACAATCCAGCTACAGCTGGTTTCTGTGTTTAATGTTTGCACTTTTCTACTAAAGTTACTTAAAGAATATGCCAACATGGATTCAATAGAATCTGTGCATTGCTTTTTCTTTTCTGAGTATATGCACACGATACTGAGGCCAACTAATGCCTGACTAACTTGTAAATGGTTGGCAGAGTTGAGATACCAATCACTTTATTTATTTTGTGCTTGGAACACCATTTGTGTGCTCAGCATTAAGGATGTACAGTAAAAAAAATTCAAATCAAGAAACAATTTCACTGTTTAAAATGATTGCCTTCCATTTCAGAATAGTTTAACATGTAATTTAATATATCTACTTAATGATGACTGGGTATGCAACGATTAACCGATTTCACTACTAACCACGCTTTAATTTGTCACGGTTAATTAATTAAAAGGCTTCTCAACACTGCATTTCTGCACCAAACTGCAACCTGCAACTAAAATTTATGCCAACTGTGCGCTAGTTTAAAGTTCCAAGCTTGTAAACTGAGGCTGATACACACACACACTGGATTAAGTATGGCTGAGGCTATTAAGTAAGGGCCGTTCACAAGTTGTTTCTTTTGTTTGTTGTTTTTTTTTTTTTTGCTAGATATATTGCAATAAAAATACAAGTTCACATGTATTGTGAATTATGTATAAAAAATAATAAACTAATTGCAAAAAAAAAAAAAAGTAAAACAAACAGTGCTTATGGTTTTCCAGAATGTCAAACAGTATTCAGGTACGGAAATAAAATAAATAAATGTGAAATAACACTGTATAGTCTTCATTGAATTAATAATTCAGTAAAAATAATCTTCGTTAAAGTTACAAATGTTGCACGTTATGAGCCTGAATGCTTTACACTCTCTTAAAATGCCTCAAAAGCGATTGCCAACGATAAAATTTCACTTTGTTATGGTTATATTTTGCAATGACTCAACAAATCTCATGCATTCTCAATGGTTGATCAACTACTTACCTTATTCTCCTCGTACAAGCGGCACAGCCATTTGAATCTTTTTGGCTCGAGACTTCTGGTCTCATTCACCTTCATTAATTTTAGAGGTTAAAAACAACTCGTTATGCTACTTGATGTTGCAAACTGATATTTTCTAATTATATTATTCTACATTTTATGTATAGTCATGCAAACACTTGTTTGTAGATCGAGCAGTTTGATTGTTTTCTGCGATTTATTATTCCTAGTCATTTCTCCCATAGGCAACTGAATCGGAAGTTCTAAAACAATCGCAAAAACAATCGCACTTCCGCAGAGTAGAATTAGGTCAATAATCCCAACTCAACATTGCATATCATACAATGTAACTATTGCGGCTGAACACATTGCAATGACCATGCTAAAACTATATATTGTTACCCTAACCCTATTAACCCTATTATTATTATCAATATTAACAAAAGAGTTTTATAACAGTTTTTTTCCGTCAAGGATTTAATGATGAATAGGATATTCTAAAGATCAGTCTTTATTTTAATCTTAACATAACTATGTAAACATATTTTTTGGCACACTTGATCAAAAGGAATGCATCCAAACTATAGGCATGGGCCGGTATCAGATTGTGCTGGTATGATAAAAATATTTTCACAATTTTATAGTATCATGGTATTGTGATTACTACTCTAAAATATGTTATTTTTAAATATCTAGGTAAAAAAACAACAACTTTTTCTCTGTTTAACACAATCTATTTTATTTTAAGAAATATTTAAAATGTTTTGAAACAGTAGCTTTTTATGTGGCGGGTCCTTTTCTGCTAGAGATACTGTTGCCCAAAAAAAACCTAGTTGCAAAAAAAGTATAGTTTTAAAACCTTGACTTTCCAAACCATGATGAAAACGGTTATCCTCCTATGCCTAATCAAAACACATTATTAAACCCAAACTTTAGATTTAATAAAAAAAATAATAAAACACAAACTGGATCAAAGCCTTTACATGATATTTATAAAGAAATTTTGCTAATTATATATAAAAAATGAGCATTTAAACATACTTCCTTTAATCAAAAAAATATCTACACTTGTTTTGCCGGTGACCACTATTTTATGTGGTCCAATGAAAAAAACAAAACAAAAAAAAAAACATTGTAGTTCCCCGCTGGGGGTGGGACAGTTTGGCTATTCTTAGATGGGAAAGTATTTAAAAGTCTATACACCACAAACCATAATTGGCCAGTCAACTATCTATACTCCACAGCTCTACCATAAATGCTGTATTTACTGTGGATGACAATATAATAAGATCTTTGCATTCTTTCATCACAGCAACAGTTTCTGTAAAGGGAAGAATCTAACAGGAACATCATCCTCTAGCTGTTTCCAATAAAGCAGAATGGGAACACACAGTTTCCCATTCAGTACATTGAAAAAGCAAATAGGAAAAACCATCAACCGACTCTGTGTATCATGTATTTGAGAAACTGGAGGGTGGGGGTGTTCTACAAGAAGGCTGATTTTAGAGATGCCTTGTGCAGCAGAAAAAATACGCTCTCAGCAGGATGGCAGGAGTTACCCGTGGCATCCTGACACGCATGGCACTCCTCCAGTGATGGGAATGAGGAAGACTGACATAGCTTAGAAACCTTCTACATCATCAGAATAGGCTGAAACACACACAGCTGACCCACATGCATATTTAAAAATACCTGACACAGCATAAATTGCAATACCACAAGATCAACCATAGTTTCACTTAGGCCTAAAGATGTAGATAACAACCTAATTATGATTTAATACGCTGTTTAACTCTTATTCAACAAAGACAGGCAGTTAAATCAAGATATAGTACAAGAAACACATTACGTGTGTTGTGTAGTCAGCGGCAATAGCCTAGTGGTTAGCACACATAGCACAGAGGAGCTCACGGCGAACAGAGTTCGATTCCCAGTATTTTGCTGATCCTTCCTCTATCTCTGCTCCCAACACTTTCCTGTCTATAAAATCTCTACTAGTGTGCTGTGAAACTAAAAAGGTCAGTAAAATAAGCATTCAATTAAAGTATTAGTATTAAACTTTAGAATTAGAATTCCTGGTTTAGTTACTCAAATTAACATGTTTAGCAGTTCACCAAGTCACATTGAAGCCTTGGACAGACATCAAAGAACTAGCAGTGACATAAGCCAACTTTGTTGTCACCTTGAATTGGCTCTGTCTGCTCCTATCTGTGTCAAAAAGTTGCACTTGAACACGCCAAACAGATGACAGCTGACTGAAACTAGAACCTGCAATCTTTTCTTGTGTGAGAGGATATACTTTTCCATACCTGCAGATGGCAGTATTCTGCATTGTGATTCCTAAAAGGGAAACTAGAACTAGCACTGCATACATACAAACTGTTTGTTTCTGAAGGATTTACCCTTCAAAGCTTCAGAGGCATTAGGGCATGAACGCAGTTGACACTGACGTGCACCTTTCAAAAACTGTAACTACATCTCGCAATGACGCATAGCCCAAGCTCTGTGATTGGTCAACTTGGTAGCTGTAACCAGTGTGGGTGGGACCAAGAGCTGCGCGAACTCGTTGGAACCAACAAGTTACAAAGCATCATGGGGACCAGAACCGTGCAACAGTTGTACTCTTCAAAATTCTTCATTCAGCTAGGCCCTATAACATGGCCATTTTTGAGCACTTCAGTTTGGAAAACACTTCAATATGGCAGCATTGAAATGGTTCTCATGCAAATATGTCAAATAATCTGATAATTTATGTCATTTGAAATTATTTGTTTGTGAACAAGTCTCTCTTTGTTCAGTCTTGACTTGACTTGTCGCTTTCTTGGTCTTGTCTTTTACATTATTTTGTCCACAAGCTGCAATTTACAACCTGAACCATAGCTGAGCTGCCAATCAGAATGCTCTCTCACCAAAATGAGCTTGACCACACAAATTAAACCTACGGATGGCCGAACATCTTAAAAATTCACAATACCAGGAATGCCCAAACTCGGTCCTGGAGGGCCAGTGTCATGCTAAGTTTAGTTACAGCCCCATGTAGACACAACTGAGCCACTTATTGAAGCTTTTTCTAGGTATACTTATAACTTCCGTTTCAAGCTGGTGTGTTATAGAAAGTTGTAGCTAAACTCTGCAGGACACTGGCCCTCTAGGACCAAGTTTGGGCACCGCTACTCTGTACTGACGCTAGATGATGCCATTAACTTCCATTATTCAAAAAGAAAATACAAGTAAAAAGCAAACTTTCGTTACTTTGCATATTCATAGAACTGATAAACTTCACAACATCATTATATTATAACACATAGTATTCCAACGATGCCATGAAATACAGAAATACCTAACAAGATAATTCCAATGTAGACTGCTTTATTCCCACATGTCACATGACCACAGTGTGTTCGCAACTTTTGCGGTTTAAAATTTGCGTTTTAAAAGTTCACACGATTACATCAGCCCAAGCTCCAAGTGCTATAGAAAGAATGTAAAAAAGGAATATAGAAGCTCACCTTTGGAATGAAAAGCCTCTTTAAGGCTCAGCAGCACATCAGAAAACTTGCGCACATCATTGACCAGTTGCATGATGTATTCGGGATCCCCTCCCGAGGTGGCGATATTGTGGTCCAGGCCCATAGCGTTGAGGGGGTTTGTCTTAGAGCTGCGGCCCATTTCTAGCGTTTTGGAGGATGCGGTAGGCAGGGACAAAGGGATGATGGGCTGGGAGAGACGAGCACCGCTTGTCATGCGTTTATTCCCACTGTTGCTGCCCTGACGGAACATTCCAGCAGCAGCTTCTGCCGTTACGAAGTCGCTTCAGCCGCAGATCCGAAAACTCTCCTGCCAGTGGAGAGCTGAGGGCACTGTGGGGGACGAAAAAAAAGGTGATGATCAATCAAACAGCAATAAAAACATACAGCCAGAGTCGAGGGTCCTAAACAGTAGGATTTAATATAAGATTAAGGACCAATCCAAATTCTATTTTTGTAACCCTATTTCTTTCCCTTACCCTTGGCCCTTACAACCGAGGGTGATGGGGAAGGTCTTCAAAATTTACCCCTAAGAATTGGGACAGCACTACACCACCTGCACACGTCATCATATGTCCTTGCGATCTCCTGCTTCATGTGAGATCAGACAATGGCGACTGCTGTAGTTACTCCAGTTGTGTTATTTTTTTGGTATATATCTACAGGAAATCACTGAAGGCATATATTATGTTATCATAACGATCCAATGTAGCAATAAGATCATAACTGTACTGTGTATTTACACAGTGGCCATATTCCTCAATGTAAACACACCAAAAACAACATTAACATTATAATAGCAGACACTGTAAAAAGCCCATTGACAGCCACTAGACATTACTGACAGGGGATTCGAGTGTCAGAATGTTGTGGGACTGCTGTACAGGAGTTATTAATAGGGATTATAGATTGTGAAATTAAGCAGGGTTTTTTAGCGTTTTTTTTTTATTTTTTTATGTTTGTTTGTCGTAAAAAATTTTAATAATGACAAAAAAATACTAATTTGTGGATCTCCTTACTTCCGGGTTCAGCAATACTGCCATTGTGGCATGTGTATTCTGGGAAATTTTCTTACCCCTTGGTTTCAAGTGTGGTCCTGAAAAATCTTTGTTCGTTGGGTTATTCACCCCTTCCCTGTTGCCATACGCCTTCAAGCTAAAAAAAATGGTCACCCCCATCCCTTGGGGTGCACGCGCAAAACGAGGGGTAAGGGGAAGGGCTAAGGGGTAGAATTGGCATTGGCCCTAAATGACAGGGCTGCACGATATTAGAAAAATCTAACATTGCGATTTTTTTATTTTGCGATATACAGTATAGTGTGATATGATGGGCGACTCAGGAGTGCAGAGGGTAGCACAATAATCTACCCCTAGATTAATAAAGGGACTAAGCCGAAAAGAAAATGAATGAATGAATGAATGAATAATGCGATATGAATACAATTTTACCAGATGACTTAATATCTCTATTTGGAAAGAATTTATATTATTGGGATGATTCTACAGTGGGAATACTGTACATCTCCAAAAAATCTAATAAACAATCTCTAAAAACTTTGGGGTCCCCTCGACACAATTTTGTTGTTGTCTGTGTTATTTGCATTGCGTTTCTCTATTTGCATGTGTTGTGTGAATTTTTTATGCACATGTTTAGTCAGAGATTGATGATTTGATGTTTGCTATTTGCATCTCCATAAAATCTAATAAACAGTCAGTAAACTTCTTAGGGGAACCCTGACACATTTTCGTTGTGGTCTGTTCTATATGCAGTGTATTTCTTTATTTGCGTGGGTTATGAGCATTTTCACACATAATAATCTATGAATACAATCAAGAAAAAGATATACTTAAAATAAAGTGTCGAGTCAAACAATATTCAAATACAGTAACTGAATAGTAAAAATAATTCAATCAAATTAATCATCGTTAAAGGGCACCTAGGTTACACCTTTTTTCAGATTTAATATAAGTGTTTTGCATCTCTAGAATGTGTATATAAAGTTTCAGCTCAAAACACCCATCAGATTTTTCATTATACCTTTTACAAGATTCTACTTTTAACATTTTTCCACCAGGGGGCTGTTTTGTCGTACTGCGCTTTTAAGGCTAGTCCTCCCTGCCAACAGTTTCTATGTGCCTTTCTGCGTGCCTTAATCTCCTCCCTCGGCTGCGTCAGACAACAGACAAACTTAAAGGAAGAAGATCTCACGTAGCGTTTGTGAGAAATTCTACAGTAAGAACTTTACCAATGAGTATTTGTTGTGGAGATGCATCGATGAGTCACACACAATGTCAATGTACAAAGTTCAAGCGCACAAACACACACATACACATACAAATACACACACACACACAGATACAGATACAGAATGACACACACACACACACACACACACACACACACACAGACACACAGACAGAGTGCATTTAGCTTTGCATTCTTTTTGCACGCAAATGTGACAGGATACAGCTTAATCTCCACTGCTGTATGGATATCTGTTATGTTAATGTACAAAATAAACCTGATTTAACGTCCACAAACCGGGATTGAAGCGTCTTCTTTTATAATTCTTTTGACACGCAGCTGTGCTAATGAAGTGAATCTTAAGTAAATCGCTGTAATTCATTACACACGTGCACTGTTGTAAAACATTTTAAACTTGTAAAACACACTCTTGATCACATTTGACGATTATTGATGATTCTAGCGAACCGAACAGACCTTTTATTCTCGGTTGCTTTATACACGTCTGGTCTTGTAAGTATAATTATACATGTGACTAAGCTGTCAATCAATTTGGTGGGCGGAGGGGCCGCACTCCTATGTCAAGTTGCGGTCGGTCTGAAAACCGCTCCAATTGGTCCACCGTTTTTATGTTGTTTAACTGAAAAAAAAGGACTGGGTGTGTTTATTTCACCCTAATATGACGGTCTATAGTATACACTTTATCCATATGTCTGTCCAAACAGCTTGAAAAGTAGATTTTTCACCATAGGTGCCCTTTAAAATGGTACAATTTCTTATACCTGAACGCTTTTAAAATCATTATACAATCACAGGCATCAAAAACACATGCAACTGATAAATTAGAGTTTAGACTCAACATTATATCTTCAGATATGATCACATTGCCATACTGATGCAGAAACTATATATTGTGCAGCCCTAGTATAACAGTATAAAGATATTAATACTTTAATTCCGTAAAGACAAATTAAATTGATCTAAAGTGACAGTGAATAGATTCATAATAACTACTTTTGTTTCTAAAACAATAAATGACACATAAACTACACAACTGTTTTTAACATTGATAATATGAATAATAATAACAATGAACTGAGCACCAAGTTAGCATATTGGATAGCATGACTGGAGTAATGGTTACTAAAATTCAGCAATAATAGGCCCATAATACATGTGTAATAATTCACAATAATATTCTTGATTTTTTTTTTTATTCATTGAAATGTGATTTTTGAGATTTTGATGAAATTAGCTTTGATTTTAGTTTTTATATGTACAGTGCTCAGCATATATAAGTACACCCCTCACAAATCTGTCTTTTCAGTTCATATTTTTAATAAGAAGCTATACAATATTATGTTTGTGCATATCCATTAAATGAAGCCAAATCTGGAGCTTATCTAACAAAATAACTTATAATAATGGTCCAAAAACTAGTACACCCAAATTTATATTTTATAGAAAAATTTTAAATACAAATTTCAAAAAGAGGAAAAACCTAAAAAAGCATAAAACATGGAAAATTTAGTTGTATTTTTGTAAGTTGTAATTTTGATTAGAAATATTTTGCTTGAATCTAATTGTATTATCTTTTAGTTTCTAAATAAGTTTAGTGATTAAAATATTATTTTAATAAATGTATCTGTTTAATTAATCTGTTTTGTTTAAATGCACCAAAATGCATTGCCTATATTCACTGAGAAATAGATTTAAAAAAAAATATTCATTTTCAAAATGGGGTGTACTAAATGATGCTGAACACTGTATAAGCAAAACAAAAAAATACCTGTACCTATTCTGATTATAATTTGAGGTATAATGAAGTAAAATCATTAGGCTGTGCAAAAAACTGAACATTATTTACCACATTTCACTTTTGACATTCTAAAAGTTAGAATTCTACTAAAGGTTAGTAAAAAGTTTCCACATTTTGAATGTCCTGCGAGTGAATTAACAGCAAATGATCATTTTTAGCTGCACACACCCTTTAAAATACAGCGTAACTGCCTATTTATTAACTATGATGATGGATTGACTTAAAGGGGTAGTTCACCCAAAACTGAAAATTCTGTCATCATTCACTCACCCTGTACTTGTTCCAAACCTGTTTAAGTTTCTTTCTTCTGTAAAACACAAAAGAAGATATTTTGAATAAAGCTGAAAACCTGTCACCCTTGACCTTCATAATATTTGTTGTTTCTGCTATGGAGGTCAATGTTTACAGATTTTTAGCATTCTTCAATATATCTTCACTTGTGTTCAACGGAGGAAAGAAACTTGTGAAGGTTTAACCACTTGAGAGCAAGTAAACAGTGGGTAAATATACATTTTTAGGTGAATTATCCCTTTAAAAATGGTACTTTGCATTTAATAAAATTCTTTACATGTTTTTATATATTACAAGTATTTTAAAACAATTTTCAGCCATATTTCAGTCCAGATTTGCTCTTTTTTTGACATCCTACATACCTAATCACAAATGTATTCTATAAATAATGATTCTGGAGAGGTAACTAAAGGTTTTATGTTTTAAAAAGAAAAAAAGAAAAAAAATTGCTTAACTGTTACTCTAAACATCAGACTGGTTTTCTGAACATCTCTAAAGTTGCTCAATCTAGATTTTAAAAATGGGTTAAGGGTGCTTTTCAATTAATTTCAGACAAAACATCAGCTTATATATACTTATAAAATATTCAGCTCTGGAAACCTCCTGCCACATGACATTGAGGTAAAGTTGGTTTTATATTCGCATATTCATTCAGTGACAACTTGTGACACGCTCCCTATATTGTTTACCATGATACTTTTGAATATTCAGTCTAAAATCATGTAATATTGACTTGAAAACAATTTAATTGACGGTAAACAATGTATTTTGATAGTCATTGACTGCTAATATGATTCCCTATTTAGAATTTGCAAAGAAAACGTTTCTGACATTATATTATTAAGAAGTCTGAATGTGCGAATATAAAACCAACTTTACCTCAATCCCCATGACCAGTGCATAAAAAAAAATCAATAGTTGGTTTACGAAACAAACAAGAACTACAATTTAAAAACCAGTTTGCCCAAGAAAAGTGCTTACAACATTCAAGCTCTGCAGCATTATCATGATGATCCACCAGTAACAAGAACTCATGCCCTCAGACAGCCTGACCCATTATCTACTGATGCCTCATGCTTTGACATGTAATTTTGTAGCCATGTAGTGTTTGGATGTGTAATGTGGTTACGTGACTGCCTTTGTCTTCAGCTGAAGCACGTCTGCAGCTGCAGAATGCGAGTAATGCAACGATCTTTATCATTCAATAGGAGCTTGACACCTGTCACTCATAACAATCCATCTCGGTTGTAGTCAGTGATGAGAGGAAATGGACATTCAAAAAGGAACATAGGGTAAAATTTGGTCGGCTATGACTTGTCAGAATTAAACGATCAGGATTTGGGTTGACAAGTTTGGCTCTTTAACAGAGCATGTTACCACGATTGAAACAGTCACGTTAAGTAACTTATTGAAGTATTGCATTTTTTGACATTTAAAAAAAACAAGTTTGACTTGACAAACCGAATTTAATGATACACAATTTCACTCAATGCTGTAATTGTATCTCCTCTTCATAGCCCCCATGAACTTTAGCGCTGCTAGCTATAGCCGTTTCAAATTTATAAATCTTCAGCAGTTTGTGTTTTTAGCATCTCAAACGAGCAGTACTTACTTGAATGGCTCGTGACGATCGTCATACTGAAGAATCATGAAGGTAAATCCTTTGTAAATCCATCAAATGATCTCTAAAAGACGCTCGCACACAGATCGCTGTTCACATCACAGCTGGAGAGAGAAAAACTAACTGCGGGGACTGACTGACTCAAAATTTACTCACATGACCTCAAAGCAAACTTCCTATTGGCTGGTAGAGAGGGCTCAACAAGCCATACAAGCCGCTTGTTTTCCTCGTCAAAATTACATGTGCTGCGCTGGGTCTAGAGCTGAGTACAATGAAGGAGATCGGTGGTTTCACACTGGGACCCGGGGACCCCACAGGGGGCCGCGAGGGAGTGCTAGGGAGTCCGTGGAAAAGCAAAAAATAAAAAAAAGATATCGTAAACAAACAAATAAAAAATCAGTTTACACGTTTATTTAATAAACAATAAAATATTTAACTTCATTAAGACGAATAAAAATAGGCTACATACATGAAAAAGACAAATAAATAAAACAATCATTAATATAAAAAAACGATTAATAAATTATCCAACGTTTGGTTTAAAATCGGTTTTACGTCAACAAACGTTAACAAATAAAATGATTTATTGTCTTTTTGGTACATATGTATTTTTGTATATATGTATATTTCAAGCTTTCAAGTACTGGGTTGCGACTGGAAGGCCATCCGTTGCGTAAAACACATGCTGTAATAGTTTGCAGTTCATTCCACTGTGGAGACCTCTGATTAATCTTAGCCGAAGGACATTATATTGCAGTTTATTTTTATTGCAATTGTACTGTGTGATGCATCAAGATAAGCTTTCATATTATAACTTTAATATATCTATTTTTTTTTCTAAATAATGATGTTGTTTTATATTTTTAAATTATCATTCATTAATTTTCTTTTCAGTTTAATCTCTTATACTCTTAATGACTCCGTTTCTCTTGGAAACATTGTGCATTTCAAATTGTGCTTCATTCGGGTTAGTGTACTTGACAAACCACCTGTTGAAACGCTCTTCTCTCTTATGCACCTGACACTTTATGTAAACTCCATCTTACAAGAACTCAATAAGGAAAATGATGTTTACTATAAATGTACCACAATCATGTTGCACTGCTTGCTTCAACCTTAAATAACTCTCGCTTAAATTAAAACCTTAAATACCTCTTTTGCACAATATTCACCCTTAATACCTCTATTGCACAATTTCCTGCACAACATTGTTCAGTTTCAGTTAAAAGTACTTGTATAGCCTGCTATGTGTATAGTTAAGTATCTTGTAGCATACTTATATAGTATATATTTTTGAATAACTCTTATATTGTGTTTGTATTGATGATTGATTTATGTAGCACCGTTGTCCTGCGAGACACAACATTTTGTTTCTCTGTATGTCCACACATGCAGTGGAATGACAATAAAGCACGACTTGACATGACTCAGTCATATTCAGATTATACTCTAAAAATCCAATATTATGAAAGTCTAAAGTCATTCATTCATTCATTCATTCATTCATTCATTCATTCATTCATTCATTCATTTTCTTTTCGGCTTAGTCCCTTTATTAATCTGGGGTCGCCACAGCAGTATGAACTGCCAACTTATCCAGCAGGTTTTTACTCAGCGAATGTTCTTCCAGCCGCAAGCCATCTCTGGGAAACATCCACACACATTCACCCACACTTATATACTTTGGACAATTTAGCCTATACCCAATTCACCTGGACCATGTGTCTTTGGACTGTGGGGGAAACTGGAGCACCCAGAGGAAACCCACACGAATGCAGGGAGAACATGCAAACTCCACACAGAAACGCCGACTGACCCAGTCGAGGCTCGAACCAGCAACCTTCTTGCTGTGAGGCGACAGCACTACCTACTGCGCCATTGTGTCGTCTAAAGTCTAAAGTACTCTTTTATAAACATTTTGTTTCTATTAAGTTATATTATCATACATTTTTCTACTGGGACTCAGGGACCCACAGGGGGCCGCAAGGAAGTGCTAAGGAGTCTGTGAAAAAGCATTAAACTGTAAAAAAAAAAAAAAATTTAAACAAATAAAAAAAAAACATATGTACACATTTACTTAATTAACAAAAAAGTTTTTTCTTTACTAAGATGAATAAACACATATGCATAAAACAAACAAATAAATAATTTTATTTAACCTTTAACGGATTAAACCTTATAATAATTATCAAACTAATTTAAAAACAGATTTAAATTATCCAACGCTTGCGTAAAATCAGTTATTACGTTAATTTGTTGATCAAATGTAAACAAATAAAAAATATTTATATATATATATATATATATATATATATATATATATATATATATATATATATATATATATATATATATATAAATCATCTTTTTTGGTACAATATAGCTACATACATATTTTCTACATACTTTTGTGTTTCTTTCAAAATTGTACTGTGTTATTCATCAGGATAAACTTTCATATTTTAAGTGTAATATATGTATTAGTTTAAAAATAATTATCTTGTTTTACTGTTTTATTATTTTTATTATTGTTGTTGTTGTTGTTGTTATATTGTGCACTTCCATCTACACAAAGCAGTTTCAATCTTTTGGAAACCACAAACCCCAAAATATAATCATCCTCTATTTTAAATAAATAAATAAATAAATAAATAAATAAATAAATAAATAAATAAATAAATAAATAAATAAATAAATAAATAAATAAATAACATTTCGTTTCTATTAACGTAATATTTATTTTAAACAATTTAATAGATTATTTATTTATTTATTTATTTTCCTAGTTATATTGTTATGTGTTCTACTCGCGTTAGTTTTTTAGTACTACTAATCACCCTTATAATTCTGACAGCAGCTTTAAAGAAAGACGGGACTCTGGCGACATCTCGCGGCTCAATAGTTCGTTACGCTTTTTATTAACATTCGTGTGCGTGATATCTCTAATCTCTAAAGTGTGAGTGAAAGGTGTGTGTATCTGTGTACTTCGGCATGTAGACCTATAGAAACTCCCCGTTAACGGTCGTACTGTAAAAAAAATAACAGGAAGAAATCTACCGCGTGGGTCCTTCGCTGCCCGCCGTCGCTTCCTGATTGGTTTCGTCTTGAACATGGCGGCTGTTAGTAAGTATCTGACAGCCGGCAATTCCTCCATCGCAGGTGCTTTGCTGTTCGCCGCTTATGTGTTAAAACAAAGACTGTCAACGGAAACCAATGGGTAAGAGCATTCATTATGTATATGCCTGTTGACTTTTATTTACCAGTTGATCGGTGTAACCTCTTCGACATTGAAACATCATTGACAGGCGACGCATTCATTTATTCACACGTTAATATGAATATGGAAATATGGTACATTATTAAATGGAGACTTATTGACTTATTATGCTTTCATTCACGTGTTTAGTTACAGAGAGAAGGGGTCATCAAAACCACTGCGGGACAATGAGGTAAAAATATTCCTAAGTATATAATCTTAAGTATTTTGTTGACAAAAATGTTATATGTAGCCTATGTGTACATGTGTGTGTGTGTGTGTGTGTGTGTATTGCTATTTTGGGAAATGTATATTGCATAAAATACATGATATAGATCTAAATCCAAACATAAACGTGTACGTCATGTAATTTGCATATATATATATATATATATATATATCAGACTTCTGTATGGGAGTATACGTATGTATGTGTAATAAACATCAATAAAGCAAAATTTTATTTTACTTTTTAATGTTCAGAAGGACAGAAAGACAGACAAGGCAGCAGTGGACAATGTTTTCTTCAGGCGGATTTGCCATATCTTGAAAATCCTGATGCCACAAGCTTTTTGCAAAGAGGTAAGCCTTTGATTGAACTTATTTGCTGTCATTTATCAGGTAATACAATCAAAGTAAAAACTTAAGGGCAAACACGTTCAATATGTGCATCTATTATTGATTGTTTTCTATTCCAGTCAGGATATTTGCTTCTGATCGCTGTCATGCTCGTTGCCAGAACATACTGTGATGTCTGGATGATACATAATGGGACTATGATTGAGAGGTAGGCACGGGCCGGTATAAGATTCTGGCGTTATGATAACCTTGGATAAAACATCACGGTTTGAGGGTATTTTGATTACTTCTCTAAGATATATTCTTTTTAAATATCTGGGTAAAAAACAAAAAAACGTCTTTCCTCTTTGAACACAATGTATTTTGAGAAACATTTAAAATAATTTGGAGCAGTAAACATTTCAGGCTAAATAATTCCAACAAATGATTGACTTCTGCTGTCTTTATTAGTTTCAAAAACACTGATTTATTTACTCTTTAATATGCATTAGAGATATTGGATTTCTTTTTTGCTAGAGATACTGTTGTCAAGGGAAGTTTTTGCATTCAGATATAATACATCGTGTTGATCCAATCTGATCTGATCTGATCTGATCTGATCTTGAATCGTGATTGTAACCAAATGTTTATGTAAGTTCCTAGAAGGCTTGTCCTCCTTCTTTTCCTATACTGGTGTTATTTTGTAGCCTGGTGCATTTCTCTGTGGTGAGATTTTCCTCTGGGTGTCGATGCCTGCAAAACATGCCTGATCACCTAAATGTTGTCTGTCCTGTTTTTCTTGTACTGTGTGTAGAGGACAAGCACAAAATGACTGTTATTTAATGTGTGTGTGTGTGTGTGTGTGTGTGTGTGTTTGGTTTGCAGTGCAATCATTGGACGTTCGACGACTACTTTCAAAAGATACTTGGTCAACTTTATCACAGTCATGCCTTTTGTAAGTGGACTAAACTTTGGACAGAGTCACTGTGACCAGCTTTACAAGTCTGTTGACAAGGCATTGTTTATATCAGTTAGATGTCGGTAAAATAGATGGTAGTAATTAGGGGATCATATTAATACATCATCAATAAATGGGTAATAATTAAGTATATTCATCATGTTGCATTAAAATTAAGTTACTTTATCATAAATTGTGATTGTGCATTATAGATGTATTAATGCATACATAATTATTTTAGTCATTGTTTATATTGAATAATAGAAGAGTTACATTGTGTTACTGTACTGCACTGTATCCAATAGCCATATTTCATACATATGTTTTTTTGCTTGCCTCCTCAGATATCTCTAGTGAATAACTTCTTAAAGCTGGGAATCAATGAACTGAAGCTGTGTTTCAGAGTGAGACTGACCAATCACCTGTACAATGACTACTTGAAGTGAGTTATATTAACAAGCTAGTTAATGATGCTCTGAATCCATTGCATTTCTGTTCTTTTCACTTTTTTTTAATACTTATTTTTCAATAGACTCGGTCTGACATTTTTCCCGTTCTTATTGTCATCATATAATATGTAACACTGTGTCCTAACTAACTAACTAGCTAACTAACTAACTTAATAACTAACTAACTTACTAAATAACCCTGTCCTAACTAATATGACATGACAAGATTCTAGCAATAATCAGTTTAGCTGTCTGCACCAAACAGGATCCGACACTACATAAATATTTAAAAACCATAGCTGTTCATTTTAAAATTAGCCACTGCACTCCCAGCTAAATGGTAAGGGTTATAATGTAATTGATACATATTAATTAATCAATTTAACATCATTAAAATTAGCCTACTCGGGGCTTGCAAAATCCAGTAGCCCAGCGTCCCGGGGCTAATGGTTTTTCAGTCAGGCTACCAAAATGTATCTAAACGCCATGGGTCAGTGGGAGGAAAAGTATATTTCAATGCATTTACATTCTCTCACAAAATGGATAATTATGTATGTATTGTGCCGCTGATATGGCAGCAATAAATCCACTTGTTTATAATAAAGGAGAATAGCCACAGCATAACTAACTACCTCCCAAATAATGCAGTGTTTTTTTTTTCAGTTTAATCTCTTGTTCTGTACTAAAATGCATGGCACTGAAGCACACAAACACTAATCTTTTACTCAGAAATATACAGTTGAAGTCAGAATTATTAGCCCCCCTTTTAATTTTTTTAAATTAATTTATTTAATTTTTATATTTCCCAAATGATGTTTAACAGAGCAAGGACATTTTTTACACTATGCCTGATAGTATTTTTTCTTTTGGAGAAAGTCTTATTTGTTTTATTTTGGCTAGAATAAAAGCAGTTATTAATTTTTAAACACCTTTTTAATGACAAAATCACTAGCCCCTTTAATCTATATATTTTTGGATAGTCTGCAGAACAAACCCCCGTTATACAATAACTTTCCTAATTACCCTAACCTGCCTAGTTAACCTAATTAACCTAGTTAGGTCCTTTAAATGTCACTTAAAGGTGTATAGAAGTGTCTTGAAAAAATCTAGCCAAATATTATTTACAGTCATCTTGGCAAAGATAAATTAAATTTGTTATTAGAGATGAGTTATTAAAACTATTATGTTTTGAAATGTGGTGAAAAAATATTCTCTCCGTTTAACAGAAATTGGAAGAAAAAATAAACAGGGGGGCTATTAATTCTGACTTCAGTGTTTACTTAACATCATTATTTACTTTAAAAATTATAAAAACTTAAAGTTAAATAATACAATTTTGGTTATTTAAAAATAAATGTATTGCCTATAACAAATGCCATTATATATTTTATTATTTAGTAAATTTATGTTTTGTTTTTATTTATTGAATAATGTATTTTCTATTTAGGCTACTTAAATTTATATTCATGCTACTAAAAACTGAATAGTGCCTGCCCGGAATTCACAAATTTTGCAAGCCCTGCTACTTCTCAATTAATTTGCTCTGTTTAATAAATCCGGTCCTCTATATTACAAAGGGGGTTCACATACTATCAGATTGGCAACCTGGACAATCGCATCGCCAACCCAGACCAGCTGATAACCCAAGATGTGGAGAAGTTTTGTAACAGTGTGGTGGACCTCTATTCCAACGTCAGCAAGGTAAAACAGCACTCATTGTGTAACAACCATACAAAAGAATAAACAAATAAAGCATTTCTTGTAATCTCTAACCATATTAAGATCTTAAATCAAAGCCTCTTTGTTATTTTCTCTTTTGCTCCAGCCTCTACTCGACATCCTGATCTACATCTTCAAACTGAACACAGCTATTGGTAGTCTTGTAAGTGTTTTGAGTTTTCATTTCCACAGCTTTTATTATGTCTTTTCTGTGGTATTTTTATTCATGTAAATTTACAGATTTATGTATTTTCTGACCTGTGTCACCTTTTAATCATGTTATGTTTTTACACATACAATACAAGTTCTTGTTGTTGTGAGCTTCTAAAGGAATCCTATTTGTCAATCATATATAAGACAGTAGCTGCTTTTCCACTGTCATGCAGAATGATTCTTAAGACCTGTTCACACCAAGCATGATAGCTGTAATAATACCAATAAGCACATTGTTCTAAAATCATTCTAAATATAAAACAACAGAAGAGTGTAGACCACAGTTATGACAATAAAGATGTAGCGAAATAGTTTCAATCTTTCAGAATGATTTGTTTTTTTCAGCTAATGAACGCTCAAATAATAAAGCTACAGACGACATTGTGGATAAGCTCACTGCTTGATGTTAAGCTCTCCTTTTTGAAGATTATTTAAAGGTCATAACTCTCTAGAAAAGCATAGCCTAGACCATGGGAAAGAATGATTCAAAAAATACAGTACATGCTAGTTATGCACATAAGACTAGCAAAATAAAGTATAAAAATAAACAAACCTCAGATATCTAGTGCGAGTTTTGGCACCTTTGGGTATTTTCCTTCGAAATATGCTGTAAAAAATTATTTATTAAATGCATTTGATTAGATTAATACATTTGTAAATAAAGATTTAAGATTAAAGATTTAGGACATCTGCTGGTTACAATGGGATAATGCTGAAAGAAAAAAATCGAATTAAAAAATAAACAGATTTTAATCGCTTGATGGTGTGGAAGCAAATGTATTTAGCAAATATATTATATTATACATATAGATAGATAGATAGATAGATAGATAGATAGATAGATAGATAGATAGATAGATAGATAGATAGATAGATAGATAGATAGATAGATAGATAGATAGATAGATAGATAGATAGATAGATAAAAAAGGAGTCTAAAAACAAGCAATATCTGATCATCGTCAACATTGCTATTTACATTAAACTTGCTTGACCAAGGCACATTATTGTTGCATTCATACGGTTCAATGATCAGCACCACCTTGGAAAATGACAACATATCGATAACGATAAGCAGCTAATGTTAACATATTTATAAAACAATTTAAAAAATGTGAAATAAAAGAAACTCAAATTGCTAGTCAGAATTAAGTTATTATAATAGTTTGTATTTATTGTGGCAAAATAGATTATAATTTATAGTATTTTTTTATCCTGCTTCTATGACTATTTGTCATGTTCTAATTAACTAATCTAGTTCTAATTCTAATGACATGCAATACTAAATGTTAAATGTGTTTCTGACTGTTCTGGTATTATTATTGTTATTAATTACTATTATTGTTGTTTTTAATAATGTTCGTCTAAGTGTCCCTTTTGGATGAGGTAGGCGGATGCAACCCTCTATCTTCTTTTTCTGTCCTCAGCCAATCACATTTGTGCATCTTCCCGCCCTTCTGTAGGGTCCTGCTACTTTGCTTGGTTATCTGCTGTTGTCCGGTTTGCTCCTGACAAGGCTGCGCAGGCCGATCGGGAAGATGACCGTGACAGAGCAGAGGTATGAGGGCGAATACAGATACGTCAACTCTCGCCTCATCACTAACAGGTATGTATGGGTTTCAACTCTTTACCTGGATGTTTTCTTTCTGTTTTGATATGAGGAAAATGCATGATTTCTGCATACTGTTTCAGTGAGGAGATTGCATTTTACAACGGCAACTTGAGAGAAAAGCAAACTATTATTGGAACCTTCCAGAAACTGGTAAAAAAAATATTAATGTTACTATTAAAGAGATAGTTCACCCAAAAATGTATTCTTTCCTCGCCGTTTACGCACACTTAAATGTTTCCAAACATTTGAGTTTTTTTGTTGTGTTGAGCACAAATGCCAATATTTTGAAGAATGTTGTAAACCTGTAGCTATGGACATTAAAAGTAGGGCAAAAAACTAATATTATGGAAGTGAATGGTTACAGGTTTCCAACATTTTTCAAAATATCTTATTTTGTGCTCAACAGATGAAAAAAACTCAGATTTGAATGATTGGGGTATGAGCAAATAAAGAATTAGCATTTTAGGTGAACCAGTCCAAACATGACTACACACATTCAATCAGACTTGTTGTTTTTTTAGGTGGACCACTTGAGTCGCTTTATACACTTTCGGTTCTCAATGGGAGTTATGGACAGCATCATAGCCAAATGTAAGCAGACATTTCGTACATCTGGAGATGGCGACAGAATCTAAATTAAAATCAAATTTGTCCCTGTTTACTGAATGAAATTTTTGGCGATTGTTAAAATTATGTAAAAACGATAGACATTATATATGTTTTTTATTTATAATATTGTATATTATTTATTAATACTTTGTTTTAGTATTATTTCACATTATTTCAATGGCAGTGCTGAATTTTAAAGTTGACTTTTATTCAATATTTTTGATGCAGACACTTTTTTGGGTTGTTTTAACCCAAATTTGGTTATAGACAAACCCAAACATGGGGTTAGAATTTCAGTTATACCATGGCTCCAAAAGTATCACAAATTTACTTATTTTACTTACTTATTTTTCACATGTAAACTTTGAAAGCACATTAGTGTGGTTTAGTTTAGGTGTCATGCAGTGCCTTAAGTATCGTCCTCCGCCTGACAAATGCAATGCGTTCTGATTAGACAATTTGTCCAACTTTAATATGCACTGCAGCCACTGAGAAAAGCTAGGAAAAGCTTTGATGACAAGTGAAGACACTATATTCTCATTGGTCAGATTCTGTAATGACAAGTATAGTGCATGTTATATGATGCATTTATTTATTATTTATTTATTAACATTTAAATATTAAATAAGCTTTATGTTGAACATTAAATATTTAAATAAACATGAATATATTTGCAAAAAATATGATTATGCTATCTAAAAATTTTCTTATTGTATAAGAATGTATGTTTGGCAATAAAACATTGCATTTTAAATAAATAAAATAAAACATTTTATATACAAACAAAATTGGGGGAAAAGCACACAATTTTACATGCTGTTTTGGTACTGTTGGAGCTTTGGTATTGCCAATATTATATTTGTTTATTTCAAGTTATATTTATATTTTTATAGGTTTTATTTTAGAACAATTTTTGTGTTGATTCTTCAGATATAGCAATGGCAGTGGGTTATCTGGTCATCAGCCGGCCATTTTTGGACATTTCAAACCAACGGCACATTAACAGCACATATGCTGAGCGACTGGAAGTAGGTATTTTTTATTTTATGTTATTTATTTATTTATTTATTTAGTTAGTTAGTTAGTTAGTTAGTTAGTTAGTTAGTTAACAATATCTGATTGTATTTATTATTATTTGTGAACTGGTAGCAATTTACAAATGAAGGTGTAAATCGTTATACAGTGGCAGTATGTCACTGTTTGTACATCCAGATAATGGTTAGCTTGTAATGACTGACCTTTGATCCTGCCAGATTGATATGTCATCATTGTCTTTGTCAAAAGGATTTATTGGCTTACTAAGGATTCCCTAAGACAAATATTTGTACAGAAGATAGTAGTTGTGTTTTTTGTCTGCAGGACTACTACCAGAGTGGCCGAATGTTGATGAGCCTGGCCCAGGCTTTAGGAAGAATCGTCCTGGCAGGAAGAGAGATGACCAGACTCTCTGGGTGATTGTTTTTGACTTCAGAGCTATATCTAGGGCCAGATGGAATCTGCGGACATTTTTTGCTATTTCTGCAGAGAATTTTGGTAAAAATCTGCAGATTTCTGCGGAATTATTTTGGGAGTATCATAACTAAAACATTAATATGTGAAATAAAAAATAATATTTTTTCTACTTTTATTTAATGTTTAAAATGCAAATCCAATAAGATTCACTTTATTTGGTAAACAAAGTACGTCTCTCATATAGTATATCTACTAAAAGACAGAAAATATTTCTTTACAAACTGCATTGTACAGTACATAAATTTGATGAAAATTTTCATATTAGTCAATAATATTACTGTAATTAATTTAAAAACTGAATAAACTTAGATTTAATTAAATAAACAGAATTAATGATGGGCTAAAAATCTGCTGAAATCTGCGGAATTCTGCGCAAACAGATTCCATGTGAGCCTACTTATACCTTTATCAGTGCTCACCCGGGCTCCACCGTTCACCTGCTTCAGTGTTTGTGTGTTTTATCTGGGATCTCCATCCATTTGTTAGGTTCACTGCACGAATCACAGAAATACAAGAAGTCCTGAAGGAGCTGAATTCGGGAAAATATGAGCGAACCATGGTGACACATCGAATTAAAGGTCTGGACTGTTGTGCTTTATGTGTTTTTGTTGTTTTTTTTTAAACGTTTATGAATTTGTGAAAATACTCCATTCAAATGCATATGAGTTTTGTTTTTTGTTTTTTTTATGGAGTAACAATTTTTAAATAATTTCTGCTCAATGAGGCTATATTAGTTTGATCAAAAGTCATGTGATGCCTTATGCTGCTTTTATTTCAAGAAAACATGCTGATGCTGACGCCACTCAAGAAACTAATACTTATACATAATATCTTATTAATAGTTAAATATAATATCTTATCATCCATGATGAAAACATTGCTTCCTTTTGAATTTCCAGTACTTTAGTTAGGAAAATAAAATATAAAGAATATAAACAGAATCAACTTTACTTGTCATTACTGATGCATTTAATGGATTCTTTGATATTATGATTTGTAGTATTTGAATAAAACTCGAGTTTTGGCTTTATTCTGTAAATTTTAGATCCTGAATTAAAATAAAAATATTATCATTGGTGCCGTGTTTTCAGAAATGTTTATATTCATTTTTAGACAGCACGATACCAGTGTTTGAACTATTAATTTAACAATTTTTTTAATCGCAAACCAAATAATTCCAGAGAATTTTCTAGTGGTCTCTTAATTATTATTTTTTTATCTCTTTCTTAACAGATACTGCAGTAGATAAAATCCCTCTTATCCCCGGGAGAGGTGAAATCATCATTGCAGACAATAAAATCAAGTAAATTACCAAGCAAACATCCACCAAGCCATCATAGTAACCTACTTAGAATGTGTGCATTTTTGTAGTAATTTTTCTGAAATGTAGAGTAGACCTCATCTGTCTGTCCAGCATCTCATTATTGCTTCACATTGAACTGGATTCTTTCTTAGGTTTGAACACATTCCTTTAGCGACACCCAATGGAGACATCCTGATCAGTGACTTGTCATTTGAGGTTAGTGCTTCATAAATTAAGGTTTTCTCAGTCTAAACCTGTCATTTGGATTGTAAAAGTGACGGGTTTCCCATGAGTCGTGAAATTTTAAAAGGTTTATTAAAGAGTCAGGGAATTTTAAATGTTTCTGGCCCAGGTCACAGAAAGTCAGTGATTTCTGTTATGTGGCAAAAATAGTCATTGATCGAATAGAAAATATAAGATTAGGAGTTACTGTTAAGTTTTGACCTTTTTTGCCTCTGCAACCAGTATTTAGTTGCTTATTTAAAGTCTAAGGTTGGTTTAAAAGAATAATAATTTAATGTATCTGGCAATGTCATATTAATGGTATAATCAAATTGAGATTAAGCGCCCCTTGTATTAAATAAGGCAATTCAATTCAACTTCTAGTCTAGCTTTGATTTGGGCTTTAAACAGATGTGACATGACAACGTCATTTTGAGTCAAGTGCAGTATGTGGATTAAAAGTAAAGTCAACTCAAAAAAGCTGCAACAAGTTGTCTTACAATTTTTAGTTGAGTAAACTTTTTTAAGTATTGTGATTAAAGATATACAGCGCCTATAGAAAATCATTATACCCTGTGGAAATCTATACCTTTATGCACAATAAACCCTACTTACAAAAGCCCTTCATAGTAAAGTTGTAGTTAGGAGAAGGCTACAATAACTGTGTTATGCGATGTGATTTCAGGCTGTATGACAAATAAAGTCATTATTTCAAAGGGGAATAATGATTTTCTATAGGTACTGTATTATCCTTTTTGTTTGCTCAGTGATTGTAAGTCACAAAAATTCAGCTTTTGATTCAAGAAAAAGTCAGGGAACTTAATATTTGTATTTGAAGTGTATGCCTTGTAAAAGGTCTATAACAGAGTTCTATATGCTTATTTTGTCCAAATCATGCAGTATCAGGGATTTTTCTTTGTCATTTTCAAAAAAAAAAATTCATTTCAAAACATTTTTTACGCCATTTGCTTGTTATGGTTAGGCTAGTTGTTTTTAGTGCTGTTTCAATCCTTTCTCACTTGACAACCAGCAAACACTTAAAGTTCACCCCAAACTAACTCAAGCGTCTCTTGTTTGTTCACCAGCTTCTTTCTTCTGTTGAACACAAAAGAAAATACTTTTTAAAAAGCTGGAAACCTGTCCATAGTTCTTTGTTTTTTCATCTATAATAGTCCATAGTCACAGGTTTCCAGCTTTCTCCCAAATATCTCTTTAGTGTGTATGTTCAAAACAGAATAAAGAAACTCATAAAGATATGGAAGCACTTGTGTGTCCGCTTTTCTGCACATTGTAGGTTAAGAAAATGGAGCTTTTTAGTCAGTGAAGGCAGCAGAAATCAGGGAATTTGACATGTGGCTTAGAGTAGGAAACTTTAATATAGTCTTGTGATCTGGTTTTTGGTAATTGTCCATCCTCCCTCCTTTATTAAGGTGTCATCTGGGACAAATGTGTTGGTCTGTGGCCCTAACGGATGTGGCAAGAGTTCCCTCTTCAGAGTCCTAGGAGAGGTTTGCACTAGAAATATGACTAGCTTTACAAACCATTGAGATTTGTTTTACATTCATGCATGTATTCATTCATTTACATTGTTTTTCTCTTCTTGCCCAGTTGTGGCCTTTGTGTGGAGGAAAACTGACAAAACCAGAGCGAGGGAAGCTCTTCTATGTCCCTCAGGTGGGCCTGTTTACACGCTCCTACTGTAAAAGCAGGAACAGTACCACATTTTCAAAACTCATTAGTTTGTTTGTTTCTTCTTCAGAGGCCCTATATGACCTTGGGTTCCCTTAGAGATCAGGTGATCTATCCTGACACGCTTGAAGACCAAATGAAGAAAAGAACATCTGATCGGGTGAGTTTCGGAATCAAAAACAAAAACACAGCAAAAGGAGATGTGCTACATGGTTTGTACAAAAGTGAGAGCTCTGGCATTGTTTACTCACCCTCACCTTCAATATGTGAAACACAGTTAGTGACAGGTGAATATGTTAAAAACAAATAATAGTCATCATGAGTCTTCCCCAATTGATTATTTTAATAGTCACAACAATTACAATACGCGTGGGTTTCCTCAGGGTGCTCCGGTTTTCAAAGACATGCAGTACAGGTGAAATGGGTAAGCTAAATTGTCCGTAATGTATGAGTGTGAATGGGTGTGTATGGATGTTTCTCAGAGATGGGTTGTGGCTGGAAGGGCATTCGCTGCGTGAAACGTTATGGATAAGTTGGTGGTTCATTTCGCTTTGGCAACCCCAGATTAATAAAGGGACTAAGCCGAAAAGAAAATGAATGAACAACTACAATACGCAAATAAGACATTATTTAATAAAATGTGTGCTAGTTTGTGGACATTTCTCACATATTAGTCGAATGGTTTGACAGAGGGAGATTTGAGGAATCTCTTTACATCACTCCATGAAAAAAAAACTGCAACTAAAATAAATAATAAATAAAATGTTGTATATAATCAGACATATTATGTATGATTATATCTCTGTGTAAAAATGTCAGAATACAGGTTTGAATAAAATTATTGAAGTTTGTATGTGCTGCTGAAGTGGAGACTTATCATTTAGTGGAGGAAAGAGAAAAACCTTAACAATGTTTAAAAGTGTATTTTGATTTTTTTTTTCTTACATTAGACTGCAGATGGCACTATTGGGTGTTCTGCAACACCTAGACTTAAATCTAAAAACAATTAGTTTCATTTTGATCATTATTAAAGTGTATTGTTAACAAAAATAAATAAATAATAATAATTCATATAAAAACTATTAACTTAGTAATTGTGTAGTAAATGATTAGGGAAAAAGTATCACTAAAGCACAGCTTAAATGTATAGTAAAAATAAAGATTTAATTGGTAATAGTGACAATAGATGTTTTTATATGTGATCTGTCTTACATGACCACGAGTATAAATCCTACCTGAGCAATATCTTTTGGTTAAGAATTTTTCTAGTGTCAAAGTTAAAGTGCAATGTACTTCAATGAAGGAACAGAAATCTGTTAGGTTTCCAAAAAAAAGAAAAATTGTCCTTCATTTGACAGCATCTATGTTCAAAGGTGCACAACATGTATTGCTTAAAAAGATTTGTTGAGTGTCTGCCCATTTTTTTTTCCTCAAACTCATAAATTTTTTTTGTATAGTTGTATAGAGTAGAGTAGCTTATATATTTTAGTGTAATGCTCAAGTTTCATGGTCTGTAGTTCTGATTTCAAGAAGCACCAGCATACATGTAAATATATAGATCCATTCTTTAAAAAGAACCCCAGTTTTGATCCAAAAGAAAAAAAGAATTACTGGGAAAAAAATAATAACTTTAAACTTCAAATACTTACTTTTGAACAAACCAGGCACTAGTTTGTAAACAAGGACCAGAAAAGCCTCATCTGATTAAAATATAAAACCATTTTTGTGGTTTTATTGTTGGTATCTAAAAGTGAGGCCTGTATTAATTCATTAACAGAGAATCGTATAACGTATGAGAAACGTATATACTTAAGACTGTGTTTCTCATCAAGATGAAACTAAATAAAAATTAAGTTGTATTTTTTATATGTTAGTAAGAGTAGTCAATTTTAAGCTTATGTTTGAGCTATTGCGCTCCAAAAAGTGACAATATTTGCGTCTAGAATGCATAAAACCTGATTATAATCATCCAAAGCTTGAATTTTGTCACTTCAATCTAAATGGATCAACTGTTTTTTTTGTTTGTTTCATGTTATCTCATACTTCGGTTTCTCAAATCTTGACCTCTCTACTATCTGAAATGCCCCGTCCCCTTCAAGATGTTCGCATTTGCTTTTCATTAAATGCGCTTGATCTCAACCACTCACACCGACAGAGCTGTAATGAAAACTAAAACTTTTGATGAAATCTTTTTTTTAAAGAGAGGAGCTACTCTATGTCCCGCCCTCTCTTTATTATTTAAGTTGAGATTACCTCAAACATCGCATAAATCGAATGCATATTTCAAAGCACTTCACGGGACCTTTAAGAAGTGTGCTTGAAAATATATTTACAATCTGCTGTGTAATTGTGGTCAGGTGCTGAAGGAGTACTTGGACAATGTCCAGCTGGGTCACATCCTGGAAAGAGAGGGCAGCTGGGAAAGCGTGCAGGACTGGATGGACGTCCTCAGTGGAGGAGAGAAGCAGAGGATGGCTGTAAGATCAACTCTCCAAACCGGACACATTGCTGTCTTTTTGGTGGGTTTATATCACATGCAAAAGTGATGAGGGTCTTCTCTTTTTCTGAACCGCACAGATGGCTCGTCTGTTCTACCACAAGCCGCAGTTTGCCATTCTGGACGAGTGCACCAGTGCTGTGAGCGTGGATGTGGAGGACTTCATCTACAGCCACTGTCGGAAGGTAGATGTTTGAAGTTGTTTGAGAGAAGAACAACTCAAGGCAAAGTCAAAACCCAATTTTAGCAGTGATTTGTTTTAAGCAATCTTTGAAAAATGCTGCAAAAGCTGGAGCAGTAAATCTGCCACACAGAATCTGTGCATGCTGAAATACTCAGAATTCTGGAGATTTCTTATTTATTTTCACATATTAATATTTTCTTATTTATTTACTCAAGTAATTATGTGCAAATGGTTATTTATATATATATATATATATATATATATATATATATTGTAATATTATTAACTGATATGTAAATGGATTTATAGGATTTATTTACTTATTCTCAACCACGTTTCTGAAGGACCACAAGCGCTGCATGTTTTAGACATCTCCTTTGTCTATTACACATATTACAGGTCTGTCAGTCTCTGCTAATGAGCTGATGATCTGAATCAGGGGTGTTTGGTTAAAGAGACATGGAATATGCGCAGAGCTGGTGATCCTCCAGGAATGTGGTTGAGGAACACTGCTTTAGTAGATATAACACATGAGAGACTTTGTTTACCAAACAATTAGATCTAATTGGATTGCATTGTTAACCTTAAATAAAAGTTCAAAAGTTTAGTTTTTATTCCATGTGTTAATTTTTAGTTATTATATTCGCAAAATCATTCTGCAGATTTTGTGCAAAAATAGCAAAAAAATACCCGCCGATTCTGTCTGGCCCTGGATATGACAGATATAATATAATATAATATAATATAATATAATATAATATAATATAATATAATATAATATAATATAATATAATATAATGCACAAATAAATGTATATGCTCTCTGATAATATAAATATAGAGCCCTGGGGAAAAAAAGAAATCTTTTGATGAGATTTTGAATTGATAGTTATGTCTGAGTAAAAGTAACAAGAATATTTATTGTTGTAGACAATTGTTGTAAAATCTGATAACATTCATTCATTGATTTTCCTTTTGGCTAAGTCCTTTTATTAATCGGGGGACTCCATAGCGGAATAAATCACAAAGCAACCTACTTGCTGTGAGGTGATCGTGCCACCCACTGCGCCACCGTGATGCCTACATCTCATAACATTCATTCATTCATTCATTTTCTTTTCGGCTTAGTCCCTTTAATAATCTGGGGTCACCACAGCGGAATGAACCACCAACTTATCCAGCATGTTTTTTACGCAGTGGATGCCCTTCCAGCTGCAATCCATCTCTGGGAAACATCCACACACACTCATTCATACACACTCATACATTACGGATAATTTTGCCTACCCAATTCCCCATGTCTTTGGACTGTGGGGGAAACCGGAGCACCCGGAGGAAACCCTTGCGAACGCAGGGAAAACATGCAAACTCCACACAGAAACGTCAGCTGAGCCGAGCGGAGGTTCGAACCAGCGACCTTCTTGCTGTGAGGCGACAGGACTACCTACTGAGTCACTGCGTTGCCCTTCTGGCTGGGTTAGTTGGCATTTCTGTATGGAGTTTGCATGTTCTCCCTGTGTTTGCTTGGGTTTCCTCCAGGTACTCCTTAATTGGCCGTAGTGTATGTATGTTAATGCGAGAGTTTATGGGTGTTTCCTAGTTTTCCCATAAACTGATGACTTCAGTATTTAAATATTGAGGAATGTTTTTAGAATCTTGTTTCCACTTTTGTTTATTTTTTAGGTTGGCATCACACTGTTCACAGTCTCCCATAGAAAATCACTGTGGAAGCATCATGAGGTACAACCTTGCTCTTGTATTTCATCATACAGTTTGCTGAATTCATTAGAAAAGCACTCTTAAAATGGTCTACTTCTCTGTTCTACAGTATTACCTGCACATGGATGGAAGAGGAAACTACGAGTTTAAACCCATCACGAAGGAAACAGTGGAGTTCGGATCATAGTATTGACTTTAGGCCCTATTCATGAGCAAATCTTTGCGTAAATCATCTGTAAATTAAAAATAGCTGCTTTTGAAAAGATGTCCGAGGATGGTTTCATGCAGAAATTTGCTTGTGTAATTAATAAAGCCTAAATACAGAGCAAAGATCATTCCCAATCTTAAGAAAAACGTAATTCTTTGTATTATAATACAGCTTTTCTTCATCTGAGGGAAAGAATTGTCACCGTGGATAAGTATCTCTCAGGGAGAGGTTAGTTTTGCATTATCTAAAAACATTTTTGTAAAGAGTAAATCTGGGTTATCCCTTTTTAAAAAAATAGTCACACAGTTTTGTAATATGAAAGTAGGGATTTTTATTTTGGATATTTGGAGGATGTCACTGGGAAATGTTTGTTTATAACATTGTTTTGCATGTCACTGATACGATAATGAGCACATCATAAAACTAGGGCTGGGCAATTAATCGATTAACCTGTTTAAGCATTTGTCATGGCCATCTTGTCAGGGAAGCACAGTTGTGTGATCCATTGAAAGCCAGAGGGCGCTCTTGCAAAACTTCCAACACTCAAGAAGAAGAAACCCAGGAAATCCCCATAGAGTTCCATTATAAACAAAACATTTAAATGCTTTCGACGCTTTAGCATGACTAAAAATCACACAAATACATATTTATTTAAGAGAAGCATTTCTTTCAGACACTCGACTGAAGTTACAGTATAAAGTGTGTTTGACGTAAAAATATGTTTAAAGTTATATGTGGATAATCAGGCAGAATTGACTTTATGAGCCGTATTTCGTTGAGACACTACGCAAACAGCTGTCAGTCATTGTCACAGAAAGATTATATCTATCATTATTGGACAATTACATCGATTTTGGTTTTGAATGTGATTTTGCGCAGTTTATCATTGAAAAATAAATCCATGTCCATGTCTGTGCATGTTTACTACAAGTTGAACACGGATTTACTGACAAAATGCTCTTGAAAATTTCTGTTTGATTAATTGCCCAGCTCTATGTACAGTAAATCATAAAAACTGTATTATTTAAAGAGATAGTTCCCCCAAAAATGAAAACTTTGTTGTTAATTGACTCACCTTCAAGCCATCCGAAATGTAGGAGACTTTCTTTTTTTGTCTTTAACAGTTAATTAAACATAGTTTTACCTAAATCCATTGTTATTGGTGTTAATTTTGAGGTAAACTATCACTTTAAGTGTAATAAGCTGTCTTTATGTATAGGAAAATTAATGTTACTGTATGATATGATGAAGTCTAATAATATGTTTGAAAATACTGGATATTTATATACTGTATGAACAGAAGTAGTGCCTTACTGATGTATTTTACCGAATTACAAAAGATACAAAGAAATGACTATAAAATTGTCTTGTATTATTTCAGTTGCAAAAATATACAGCAGCCAACATTTGTAGTGGATCAAAAACGTTTTTCAAAAGACAAGAAAGGCTGTTTTCAGATAGCTTTAGGACAACTTTGATAAAAGGTTTTGATCCAGTTCAAATGTTTATAACTATATATTGTACAGGCCCATTTTCATTGACTCATTTTAAATCTACACTGCCTGACAAAAGTCTTGTCTTCAGTCCCAGTTGTAAGGGCAACAAATAATAACTTGACTTTAAGTTTATCATTTGGAAAAGTGGCAGAAGGTAGATTTTTCAGATGAATCATCTGTTGAGCTGCATCCCAATCATCACAAGCACATCAGAACACCTATTTGAACCTGCATGGACCCAAGATTCTCACAGATATCAGTAAAGTTTGGTGAAGGAAAAATCATGGTTTGGGGTTACATTCAGTATAGAGGCGTGTGAGATCTGTAGAGTACATGGCAACATCAACAGCCTGAGGTATCAAATAAGCATAAAGAGACCTTTGCCTTTCATATAAGCCACTTCTGACACCAAATGATCAACTAGAAGTCGTTATTATTTGTTGTTCCTAAAACTTGAATATGCGACTAGACTTGTCAGGTAGTGTACAGTTGTTTTGAGATGTCTGGGTTTTTTCTACTTGGGATATATGACCTCTTTTTACAGTTTCTGTTGTGACGTTCTCATGTTCACAAACTCTGTTTGTTTACATTTCAGTTTATTCCGTGCTTCATCCAGAAAGACACTAAATTGTATACAAGACTTACATCTGTACTGCTGCTAACCACAAGGGTGAGCTACTGAGACTAAGTTGGTCTTGGCCAGCGAGTCTCTCTCTCTGTGTTTTTAATTGTCAGATAGTGTTACACAACTTCAGCAATATTTCATAGTTATTAGGGATTTTTTCATGAACAAAAATACCAGAAAGAACTGCTGGCCTGAAAATACACATTCCCTCTTGTTTTTGATTGTGCAATTCCCTTTACAATTGTCATTACATAGCCGATAATGCTCATTAACCCTTTAAACTGCCCCACCAAGAACAATTCTCCTGATGTCGCTAGTAATTTACACACTCAGTGCAATTTTTTTTCAACCATCACATAATTTCTAAAATATTAACCTCTACCAAATGGTTGATATGTCAGATTATAGTGAAAGTACATAGATTAATACATCTGTATACCATGAAAAATCTGAAAATATGATGTGTGATATTTTTTGAAGTATGCCATCAAATATTTCAGATTCTTATTTAACATTTTTTTTTAACAATAAAACCAAAATCAAGTGAAGTAGTGCAACAAACCTGTTTGATTTTTTTTGTAAACCAACAGTGCTGTGTGTAAACCATTATTTAAAACAGTAATTCTTTAAATGACTTTAACAGACATTATACAAAACAGTCAAAATACGGTCAACCATTTGGTAGAGCAGGCAGTTAAAAAACACAAGTCATGAAAGGTTTAATATTTATTTGACTCATGTAGTGAAGCTCCAAAGAGTATGATTTATGTTTTAAAAATATATACATTTCATAAATTATCTCTCTCGATATAAAACTATTCATACAAACACAAAAGCCGCATATATCCATGTATTTCTAAAAAATCTAATAAATAAGTCTGTTTATTAAATAGGCTGTTCTGCTCACTCATAAAAAAACAATGGCTGATATGTATAACATATCACGTAGTGTTAATGTTTCACAGAAACCAGGTCAGCTGCAGTACAGCACTGGATTGGGTCTTGCTCACAGTCCAGCTGTGTGTCCCATTCTCCACTCCACCAGCAGGCATTTCTCCATCTCTGAGCTCAGACTATGGTTTCCTTGGCTGTGGGCGTTTGTTTTTGTGCTCGTTTACAGCACACCACAATCAGAACGATTACAGCAATCACAAAAGCCAGGGTTGCGAGCGCTGCTCCACCAATCACAGCCAGTCCATACTCTACAGAAAAGATCAAAAGAGGATTTTATTTAAGAGTCTATCGTTCATTTTTAGTTGAATGAACACCTTTGTTGGAGTAGGATTACAGTGTGGATTACGAAACAGGGTGGGAAAAAGAACTGGAAGGACACATGTACCAGGTTGAATATTGTGGAAAGATTTTTGTTTGGAGTTGCTCAAATCCTTTTTTGTCAAATTTTGTTTGTATAAAAGGTTAATGATAAGGAAGAGTGTCTACATTAAGAAGAAAAATAAATAAATAAATAAATTTAAAAAATATATATTTATATATATATATATATATATTTTTTTTTTGACTTATAGATTTGTGAAAGAAATCATTTAAACATTCAAATACAATGATCAATATAAACTTTACAAAATGTTTTTTTAAATCAACTAATTTTTAATAAATAAAGAAACAACAAAAATGTGTTAAAATAAATAAATAACTAATATATCAATATAAGAATTAAAATAAAGTTGACAAAATGTTGCAATGAAAAATTAAGAAAATCTACTAATTATTATTAAACAAACAAACAAACAACAGAAACCTTTAACTTTAAATTTAATGACGTAATTTTTAAATTATAGATAGATAGGTAGACAGACAGACAGATAGACACAAAGATAGGTAGACAGACAGACAGACAGACAGAGATTCCTATTTACTTGGCGGACTTTGTAATTGGAAAAACTGATCCCAAACTTCACAAGCGAGAAAACAGGTAAACCAACCATCTGCAGTGTGAGGATAAAGAATGAGCCTCCTCCCTTCGGCCTCTTTACTTTCTCTTTCTCTCTTTCATTAATAAGAAAACAGTGTTGTACACTCCACTTAAGACATCCATTGGCCAACATATTGAATTTTGTTTGTTAAGCTCAAATATTTGTTTCAAAACTATTTCTAAATTCAATTTTAATTTTCAGCAAATAAATAAATGAATAATAATAACGAAGTGTGGTTTAGAAGTGCGAGTAATATTCAAGCACACCTGGTATGCTCCATATGGTCCAAAACTAGACAGGTGGGCAAATCTAAACCTGTTTTTATTGAAACAAATATAAGTATGCATATAATAAATTATACTAATGATAATAATAACATTATACAAAAGCAAATTGTCATGAATACACTGAAGCCCCTGAGGTGAGGGGATGGAGGTGGTGTTTTTTTATATATATATAGATATAAATCATTTTTTAAATATTTTTTTTCCTTTAGTTCTTTTTCATTTGTAAAGATATTTGCGTATTGCTGTACATCCTGTGTGTATTAACCAATATGTAAGCGAGGCGCACAACTGACACGCTCTGAGCAGCTGGTCTATTGCAGTCTATTTTAGTTCCTCAAATTAGCAACGCACCTACAATGCACCTTAACACACATACTGTATAGATCTGCAAACTCAAGAGTTCACAAAGTGCCCAAACGGACATGCTATTAAAACAATGTGGCGGAAAATGGGAAAATTAGAGTTGTGCTCGTCTTAAAATAGCAACACGTTGGGGCAAACACATCTTGCACTTTATTGCATTGGGTGTGTGATAGTGAATATGTACAAAAAAACTTGTTTAATACATTTTATTTAAATTTTTTAAATATTTTATTATTAATTTATTAATTAACAAACAGTAAAATCAGGGTTTCTGCGGTGTCTTAGAAAGTGTTAAAATGCCTTAAATCTTAAAATCCGAATTTTAGGCCTTAAAGAGTCTTAAATTTACTGAAATATTGTGCTGTAGGTCCTAAATCGTTTTTGAACAGGTCTTAATTTTCCTTTGTTCTTGTATTGCTGCTCAATCTGGCCAAAGCCCATACAACCATCAACAATCATCTCAATAAAACTTTAAACTTTTTTTATTTTATTTAACTTTTTGATCATAATGGTTTAATTACTTTCCTTACTATACCATTTGTTTAAAAGTTCTCCATGTATTTACTGCTGAGGTCACAGACCTGGACAGATTGTTGTCCATAGATTTATTTTATTATAGTTTTTAAAACTTTTAAAACATTTATTAATTTTTCTTTTATTTTAAAGAAAGTTTGTTGTACAACGTGTATGGATACAACTAGAGCTTGCTTGTTTTTAAACAATATTTAAAATAGTTTGCTAAACAATGTAATGTAAAATATTTGAATTTTTTAATAATAATGTATTAATAAATGTATTAGGTTATTTAAAAGAAACTGATCTGGGTCAGTTCATCTGGGTCATTTGAAAATTTTTTTAGTCTTGACTCTAGCCCTTTATGGGTCTGAAATTCCATTCATATTGGTCTTAAAAAGTCTATAATTTAACTCTGTGCAACCTCATCTGTTAAACTGAACAGTCGCATCATCAATGATGTAAGTGTGCCCAGGTTCGGTAGGTAAATGGGTCAAGGCATGGGTCAAGGCAACTGTACCTAGTGTAAGCACGACACTTAAAAAAATGTATAAACTTTAAAAATGTTTACGAAAGTGCTGTCTTTTATATAATTTAATTTTAACAACATAAAATGTTCAATAACTTAAAATGTAATTGATAGATATGTATATTTTATGTAAAATAAAGGACTCCATTTCATTGACCCTGAAATACTGCAAAACTGAAAACTCGAGGTGCAGAAACATTTTCCCACACGACTGAATGGAGCCAGTCAAGCACAGCTGTCAGTGTCTGAGTAATGTGTGTGTGTGTGTGTGTGATAGTGTCATCCTCCCTCTACTCTGCTCTGTTAGCTGACCCTCTTTTGGCCTCTCCACGCTTAACAACCTTCCTGTTTTCCATAACACTACAATTCTAGACAGCTCCATCTTTGAGCAAAACTTGAATCATTTGGAAGACTCAGATCCTGCTTTGTAATGGACACAACACCCTAATAAATAGCAGAACTAGGGGTTCAGCTTACCTTCAAACAGACTTTTACTTTCCTGCGGTGAACATTTGGGAAGGCTCCACTCTCCGAGCCTCTTGTCTCCTTTCCGGTTAGGAATGTAAGCCGCTACACTGAAGCAGTAACTCTGATCCTCATCCAGTCGGTTAAACTCCGCTCGGCTTTCCTCGACTACTTTGATTTTCTGTAAACAAACCAATCAACATGTTAGGACTGCAAGTTGGAAGGTCTTCAACAAATAAATGTACCGCAGGGATGTAAAACACCATTACTTTGGGAAATTTACATTTTAATCAGTTATTAATCAGTTAGAATTATTAGCCATCCTGAAGATTTTTTCCCTAATTTCTGTATAACGGAGAACACATTCAACACATTTTTAAACATAATAGTTTTAATAATTAATTTCTAATAACTGATTTATTTTATCTTTGCCATGAAAGTAAATAATATTTTACTAGATATTTTTCAAGATACTTACTAGTATTCAGCTTAAAGTGCAATTCAAAGGCTTAACTAGGTTAATTAGTCAGTTTAGGGTAATTTAGCAAGTTATTGTATGATGATGTTCTCTAGACAATCGAAAAAAAATATTGCTTAAGGGGGCTAATCATTTTTTAAATATGTTTGATTTTCATTCACGAGAAACTTTGTTTTCACAGAAGAGACAGTTTCGTACAACAAAGCTAATATCAACATTTTACTCAAACCCTGTCTAACACATTGGCCAAATGAATGAAATTGACTGCAAATAAAATGCAGAGATGAGGATTTGATTTACAGTTAATATTTTAGTGCCAAAAACAACATTTGATTGCTGTTTCTATTTTTTCCATGTACTTATGAAATGTTACAAATGTCCAAAAAGTGTTTAAATGAACATTCTTTGTTAAATTAGCTGTTAATCAGGCAGAGTAGGAAGATCTAAAAATTAAGGATGCTCCGATCAGGATTTTTGCAGTCGATACCGAGTACTGATTCCTTGTCATGGTGATCAGCCGATACCAAATACCGATTCTGATGCTTCAAGCTTTATAATGCATAAAGCGCATTTTTAGTCTAAGTATGATACTTAAGCTTAAGATACCATTTAGTGTGGACATGTCATGGTCAGAAGCAACTTTGCAGAGCAAAATACATAAAACTGATTTTTTTTTAATTACTCGAGTATGATTTTTAAGTACTTTTTTGCATCTTGTTTCTGAAAAGAAAATTTGCCGTTACTTACTTTTCCTGTGCTTCCAGCTTTGCTGTAGGCAACTTTGTACTTAAGATTTTTCTTAAAGATGTCACGGATGTTCAAAGATCTGTTGTCTTTGTGCAGAGCCGTGATGGGGTCTTGGATGGTCAGCACAAGCTTCTTGTCTATGCTCACCGTCAGTGTGAACTGAGGTCTTCCTATTAAAGCTACAAGAAAAGAACAGTATTAATGGACTTAATACATGACTTGAGGTACTACTCTAGTATGCGAACTGAGAACGCGAGGTCGGACACTCACTGTCATCATAAGGGCGGAAGATCTTTGATCTGCTATATGGAGGCTCCACTTGGTCGATATTCATGCTGGGCAGGGGCTCTGAGAGCACCTCGGCCGAATAAACCTCATTTATGTCCAAATCATTGGTCAAGTCGCACTCTGTCTCTGTGCTTCTAATGCAGTGAGGGTTTCTCTGTTTGTCACGATTTGTTCTAAAGAGAGAATAATAAACGGCATTATTTTGGGTGACTAGAAATCCTCCTTTGGTGTCCACATCAAGTTACACACTCAATGTTGAATACTTTTAACATTTCAAATAACTTGTGAAACATATGGGTGTAAATATTCTTTAGTCAGCCAGTGCAACACTCATTCAGACCAATACTTATTAAAAAATATATATAAGAATACATGATCAAACTAAATAGTTTTATATTTTAAATAAATAAGAACATCTTGCTGCTTCAAAGGAAAATGACAAACTATAAAGATTTAAATGACAATTTATTAGTATCTTAGGATTGCCCTTTGATTAGGGTCTTTAAATGGGTCATCAATTATTGTTCTAAATATGCCTGACTATATTTTTTGTCAAAAAACTGCTTTTATACAGATAGACATTTTAGTGGATGTATAAATCATCGAATAGATAGATAGATAGATAGATAGATAGATAGATAGATAGATAGATAGATAGATAGATAGATAGATAGATAGATAGATAACAAAGTATTTTGCTTAGAAAATAAATCTTATTTGAGATGTAGACATTTGTTTTATGCTGAATGTTTCTCACATTTTTATTTGACTTATTAACTCACATCACATAAAAGCAGTTTGAAATAGATATTTATGTACTTGCCTTGAGAATTCAACTGTATATGTGTAGTTGACAGGTTTGGGTCCCCAAGACAGGATTGTTTTGAAATTGTAAGATGTCCATGAAACATTTGTTGCTTTGGTAAGTTTGCCCACATCCATTGATGCTAAAAAAACAACAACAACACACACTTAACGTTACTACTACTAAGATGCAGCATACCTATCTGAAGTTTAACGTTACAGCTCTATATGATACTGTATTGTACTGCATTGCGACCTGTTGTAAACAGTTCATATTTGATTAGTTTACTTCACAGCATTTCAGAAACCAACCCTAAACATTATTTCTTACCTGGAGATCCGTTTACAAGAGCAAGAAAAGCAAGGAAAAGTGCCGAACATATTACAGTCTGAATTCCCATCGTTGGTGACAGCAAACAGTCCAATTTACGCGTATTTTTAATCCAGTTTATTCCTCAGAGGAGCGTTTGTCAATAAATCCGTCCTGCAGTCGCCAGTCTTTATATTGTGCGAGAGCTCAGACTCGCTCTACATGAGTCATGGATAACGCCCCGCCCCTTTCTTCACTTTGGGATTTTGTCACTGGCTGGGCATCTCGCGTATTACGCGCCTTATGGCCATATATGGTTATCCTACTACCGGTTTAATGCAGATATTCCAAAAGTCCCAAGCATGTACAGTATAACCTGTGACAAACGTCTAAAGAAAGTTCTACTTCAGTTTTCTGACATTTCATCAGGTTGTTTAGTCATATACATTTATATGTTTTAACTGCTTTTAGACAGTGCAGTGCAGGTTCAAATTACATGTTTCATCCTTTAAAGCCTTTTTATTAACTAATGAATAAAACATTTTAATAAATTTTTTCTTATACTTGTCTTATACTAGTTTCTTTTACTCCTGTTCATGTAAAGCACTTAGAAATACCATTGCATATGAAATGTGCTATATAAATAAACTGACCTAGCATACATTTATAATAAACATTTAATTTAGTTCAAACTACACACTCTGTAGTTTGCAATGCATTTGTATTTGTAAAATTATTGTATTTGTATTGGTAATATATATATATAGCCTATATATATATATATATAGAGAGAGAGAGAGAGAGAGAGAGAGAGAGAGAGAGAGAGAGAGAGAGAGTAATCAGAGTAATCTGACGCTGTGAAAAAAAAAATTATATATTCTGCAGCTATTTTATTTTTTAAGTATTAATTAACCCCCAAAACTATGAAACTTGTTTTAATTTTGTCACCATTAGGCACATATGAAATGTAGGTGACTATTGCTTCTGTAAGATTTTTAGCTGAAACTGGAGTCCAAAAACATTCTGGCCATACACTTAAAACAAAACTTATACCCGTGGCATCATCTGATAACATATGCATTATTGCCTTATGAAGTGAAACGATCAATTTGTGCAAAAACAAACCGTTTCTCACCAAAAAAAGAAAAAAATGCAACAATTTGCAAAAGGCGATTGTTCTGTTCACTTTTTATCCATTAAACCTCAAAAGCAACATTTTAAGCGTAAATGTATTAACAAATTATACTAAGTGGACCACAAATAACCTAAAAAGCTCAAATGTGCGTGCGTGCGTGTGTGTGTGCGTGCGCGTTCGCGTGCGTGTGTGTGTGTGTGTGTGTGTGTGTTTGTGTTTGTGTTTGTGTGTGTTCAAATCCAAAACATCTAAGAGCTCTTGAATTTTCTTCTAAAATGTGCGTTTTTCTCAGCGTCCTGTGTTTATGTTCACTTATTTCACTTTAGATATAACTAACTTATTATTTGCAATAAAAGTTAAATAACTGAACATAAACACAGGAAGTTAAGAAAAATGCTCATTTTAGAACATAATCTCCAATGTTTTTTTCACTGAAAAGATTTGTTTTAAACACTTTACACAGTTCCTTTAACCAAAAAAAAGTGCCACTTATAACTGTAAGCACACGTGGACTCCTAAGAAAAAGGTGCTGCTGATCTGAATACTCACAAATTCACAGAAACAAGCATTTCCTTACTAAAATAAAGGTAAAAAGATCATCATTTCCTATTTGCAGTTTCCATTAGTAAGTCTTCTCGAACAGTCTTTTCATGGCAGATGTTGCACTGGTGTGTGTTTGCCATCTTAACTCGTAAGTAACCCTATGGCAAAGATCATAAAACAAGGGGAATATGATTAATAGCTACAGTCCTGTATTTGGCCTGTATGAGCTTCTCTGACTTATGAGCAAACAAATTAATCACTATGAAAATTAAATACCTCTGTTTAAAGATGAACAGAGTAGTGCGCTAACCCTGAAAAAACATTCAACCTTCTGTAAACTCATCACTTTAATTTACACCTAGAAGCAAACATTTCCCTCTCTGTTCTCATAAGAGACTTTGACGGACCTCCTCACTGCCAGAAAAATGATCTTAGCTGATCCAAAGTAAATATTATGCGAATCTTCTTTTCCAAGCATTCATTTTTTTATGCATAGATAAGAAGATCCCAATACTTGTTGTGATATAAAAAAGAGAGTGTATAGGTGTTTCCCAGTGATGGGTTGCAGCTGGAAGGGCATCTGCTGCGTAAAAATATATGCTGGATAAGTTGGCGGTTCATTCCGCTGTGGTGACCACTGACAAATAAAGGGACTAAGCCAAAAAGAAAATGAACAAGTGAATGTAAGGAAATTTTAGCAAAGAAGATTTTAGTTTAGACAAAAATGAAAAATTACTTACAATTTTCTTACCCTCAAGACTTTTAAACCTTTATGAGTTACTCTTTTCTGTTTAACACAGACAATATATCTAAAATACTGAAAATCTTTGACATCCATTATAGGAAAAACAAATACTATTGAAGTCAATGGTTACCAGTTTACAACATTCTACCAAATATCTTCTTCTGTGTTCAACAGAAGATAGAAACTTCGATTCAGAACAAATGAAGTGGGAGTCGATGGCAGAATATTGAGTTTTCAGTGAACTGCCCTTTTAATATTGGTCCTTTGGGAGAAATAAAAGGTGGATAAAATTTTTTTTTTTTGGCAATAACAAAAAGCTTTATAAACTTTTGTTTCATATTAAGACAGGTCAAAATCAGGCTTGTTGGCTAAAATGAGAATAGGTTGGTACTGTTTAATGGTCTCTGCTGTCATACATTCTTATAAGTGCCAAAAAAAAAAGCACAAAGAGTTTCAGTCATAGTGGCGTTGCACCAATACTGGCCTCATTGCAATGAAGCATTTTACCAATCAAACTGTTATCATTAAGAGACTAAATGTTACTACTAATGAGTTTTAAAAGATGGAAGATTTCATTAAACAGACAAAAAGTCATAATTTACTCACCCCTTTTGTTTGAAAGCTTTATGAGTTTACGAGTAGATATATTGGAAAATATTAGAAACCTGTAACTATTGACTTCTATTGTTTTTCCTGCTATGTAAGTCAATGGTTACAGGTTTTCAGCTTTCTTTAAAATATCTTCATTTGGTTCAACATAACAAAGAAAGTTTTAAAACCACTTGAAGGTGAGTAAATAGTGAGTAAATTGTCTTTTTAAAGGTTTGTTTTAATTGTGTTTTTGACACCCCTATACACTGTAAACATGCTGGGTTCCACAGTCTTTTGGAACAACCTGAAGGAATTAAGTTAACTTAATATTATTATAATTTTTTTTAAATTTTAAGTGGATTGAACATAAAACAATGAAGTTGTCCCTTCAAAATAATCAAAAATTGAGTTCTTTGAACTCATTTGAAATAAGTAGTTATTATACCAAACAGAAACATATTTTTTGGAGTGTAAGCAAATCTTGAATTCTTTTTGTCAGTGCTAACCTATGCACAAAAGGACAACCAGGTAGATAAGATTGTGTCGTCCGGTGAGCTGAATTTTAATGTTTAGAGTACTATGTGTGCTGTATTTGCAATGTCACTTTATTTATTTCTAAGTGGTAAACATGTGAAATGCTTCAGACTGTTTGAGTAATACTGGAATTTGCTTCCTGTGACTGTTTAATTAACATTAATGTGGAAGTTGAGTGATTCCTAATAGCGTGACAGTCAATAGCAGTCACGCAAACAGTGGTCAGACAGTCTAAGGGCATGTATGGGGAAAAAACTCATGATGTCATGACATTGTTTGAGATGATAATAGGATGTAAATCAGATTTGGGGCTGAAAATGACAACATCAAAAAACATATTAGTAATCTTAAAGAGATAATTCACCCAAAACAAAACAAAAAAAAAAACAAAAAATCTGTCAACATTTACTCACCCTTTATTTTTTTAAACCTTTTTGAGTTTCTTTTTTGTGTCAAAGGAGGTTATTTTAATGTCATTTACTTTTATATATTTATTTTTCCTACTATGCATGTCACTGGTTGCAAGTTTATATATATATATATATATATATATATATATATACATACATACATTACATACATATATATATATATATATATATATATATAAAATGATATTCTGAGGTCAGAATTATTAGCCCCCCTAGATTTTTTTTCAACCCATTTCAAAACATAATAGTTTTAATATCTCATCACTAATAACTGATTTATTTTATCTTTCCCATGATGACAGTAAATAATATTTGACTGGATATTTAGTTAATAGTTATTGTATGTTTGGGTGCTGTTTGTATTTCTAATTCAATTATATTTATATATATATATATATATACAAAGGTGTAAAACCACTTAAGAGTGATTAAATTAAATAGTGAGTAAAATTTTAGGTGAACTTTCCCTTTAATAAATGCAGTGATGTTGAAAGTTATGAAAGGTAACAATACTTAACAGATTGTAAAAACATATTTTAATGGAAAATCTACTGAGATTATAAAAAAATATATTATGTACACATCTTTTTTATGCATTATTTTAAAAGCAAACCATTTCTGCAAAGTACAAGATTAGATTTTTAAAGTGTGTTTTTTGCCTTACAAACTGTGGTGAAAAAGATTTCCCATGACATCAACAATTAAGTTCGATAAGTTTGCCGTATGTAAAAACAAAAATATCTGGTCACATGCCTTTCAAACGATTGTATGCTTGTACTCAGTTACTTAATTGTCGCAATACAAATTCTAAAATATAAGTAAGAGGAAGTGGTTGGTATTGCAAAGGACCAGTATGTTGATAGCTGGTGTTGTCTAAACCTTCTTAGAACACAGTCATTGCTGATCAGATGTAATGCATAAATCTGAATTGGTTTAAGTTTATAAACATGGTTATGAGTTTTTTTATAATAAGAATATTTATATATGTATTTTAATCCAAATTAATAACACTCAGGTTCATGTAGAATCTTTAAAAGGTGGTACAGTGCCAGAATGAAGCAACTGTGGCTCATGACTGCTACTGATGAATGTTCACATCATGGAAAAATATCAGTTCCTTTAAAAAGCATGCTTTACAAATTCATAAGAAACAGCAGCAAAATGAAAGAAAAAGGAATAAAAGAGAAGTAATGAAACATTTCTTCTGATGAATTGGATTCATAAAT